CAGTGTAATCCGGTATGACGATAGGGGAAGGAAACTAGAGGAGAACGGGATGAAGGTGTGAGGGGGGAGGTCAGGGGTCACAGGACCCTTTCTTTTTTCGAGCCTTTCAAATGCGAGGTGTGTGTATAATATGTTTTTGCTATGTATATGGCTTGTAGTTATAGCGGTCATCGGCGTTGAGGCGGTCGTTAATTCACTAGATAGTAGCATCATCATCAGCTGGGCATTTTAGCTGCTCAGGACTCGAGCAAGGCTAGCTAGACCTGGATGTCTGGGGCGTGCCCCATAGCAGCCCGCGCAGAAGTAATAGAAGAACACAAATCCTTCCAGATAATCTTTCCGTTCTTCAATCTCAACCACAATCCTTGGTACCAGCATCAAAGCATCACACATCTTTGGCCGTCGAAGAGTGTGGTTAGGTATGAGGGTTAGGATCAAATGAGCCTCAATCTTATCTCCCAGTAGTTGATTTCGGCCCCTTTCGCAATCCTGGAAGCTGCAACAAGCTTACATCAAGGCGAAATCAACTGTCAAAAAGGAAAAGAGACTTTGGATGATGGATGTCTTTTTGCCCCATGACATCGATTACCGTACCTATGTAAAGTCTGCTCTGTCATCTTCTCTTCCCCTGCTTGCACAGCCGGAAGGCATTGTTGATCAACAAATGTGGTCCTGTGGGGAGACGGACTTGTTTGATCGAGTCGCGATCCACTTTCTTCGTTGAAATGTGTGAGTCACTGACGTTTTGAACTTCCAAGACAATGTCTTGTGACTACCGTCATCAACAAGTATTGGAAGATCATTGCAGCTGACTATTGCCGGTCTAGAACAACGGGTTTTCAGCACATTCCGAGTTATCGCCAGTTTCCTCTTGCGCGGGCCACACAACGCGCTCGAAAGCGCCAACGTGGGTTTGTCGTCCAAACTCCTGCGGCTCTCAGTCTCTGCTACTTTTTCCTTCTTCCTTGGGCATGGCTCGAATGCCACCCAAACTGGAGAATGGTGTGGATTCCTGGGGACCTGCATTGGCCATTGAGTTGCTGAATGCTGCATCCTGGACCTAATAAAGCAACGAGTTATGGATTTCCTTGCATTCCAACACCGATCTCGCAGAATCGAACGGATTGTGAGCTTCCTGAGAAATCCACCTCTGGGGGGGGGGGGGGAAACCTCTCCCATTGCCTTCTTTTCCCGGGGAAGACGCCACGCTGGCCGTTTCACCCGCACCGATTGCGTGCCAGATGCAAGGCGCTTTGATCTAAGCTTTTTAGGTTCTTGCCGGTCTCTCCTTGTCCAAGATAACCTACTACCTAGCTACCTAGCGGCCCGAGGCTGGAGTGGCTGGGCTCGCATCAAGGGCACAGAAACCATGAGCTGAGCATTTGAGGCGGGCACGGCAGATTTCGTTCCCGTATTTGAGAAGGGCTATCCCCACTGTTGTCGTCATGATTCAGGACCTTGGGGGTAAAATAACTGCCGGTGAGATGCGACGAGCCAATGGGGCCGCTCCTGTCTTGGCCATCTGCACCACACACTTCTTCATGGCAAAATGGTTTTTTCTGTCTCTCAACGTCCATGACCAATCCAATTCCCGGAGTGGGCAGGACGGATATTCCTTGCCCTTCAAGCCACAACCGTTGACCGCTGATTGGCTGGCCCACCAACTGGTGAGCTTTGAACGGTCGACCAAGAGTTCGAGAAGACTTCGATGCTTAGCCATCTTCTCGAAGAAGTGGACGATACTGGCCGACAATGCAGGAGAGGTGGAAACCACAATGCTCGGGCAATCCGTGCAGATGCAGGACAAGGCAAGGAGATCCAAGATGGGGAAATTAGGCTCGATGTGCATCCATCAGGGTCCAAAGGAACAACGGAACTCCACGAATGGACCGTGATGAGCCCGGCAATGCGAGTTGGCAGTTGAGTTGACAGGAGCAGCAAGAGCAGGAGTATACCGCAGTATGCTCCCCCCCTCCAGAGGTCGAGGTCTGGATGAACGACTGGAGACTGGCAGGCGGTATGTTGGGTGGCTGATCAACCACAACAAGAGTGCCCCAGGCCACTTTCGAACACCGGGGAGGAGACTGGAGAACACAGGGATCCCGAAGAAACCTCCACCCTCGGTGTGGCAACGAGGCCTTTCCAGCCGAACTTTCCGTGCATCTCCAGTTCACCGAAGTCGGCCGAAGAGGTAGGGATTGGCCTGCAGTAATGCTGACTCGCCGGGCGAACTCGAGTTGAGGCCAACGTTTCGCGCTTTCTTTAAGTTTGCAGCATGTCCTCCTCTTCCCCACGAATTAGTTTTCTCTCCCCCAACCCAAGCACTCGGGAAACTAACTTTGTGATAATGAGACTTGCCCTGGTCTCAATCCATTCAACAGATCTGACCCGCAAGTCTCCATCCTCATAAGGTTAAGCCCCGAAGGATTTCTAAATCCTCTTTTGCTTCTCACCGGCTTCTCTCACCCCATTGTTTACTCTCTCGCCGACTCCCTTTCGACAAGCCAAGTGTCTGTTCGCCATTGCACGCCACCACGCCCCGGTCTTCAACAAGTTTTACGCGGACGTGGTTTCAGAAACTCGACACAGACAACAGACATCAGTCAAGATGGCGGCTATTACCCCCGCCTACGACAGGAGTCTGACTGAGAAGGAGAAGCATGATGAGCTCCAGCGCAAGGGCTCTGGGGTGCTGGGTGGCACATCCTCGGAAGAGGGTGATGTCAGGCCCACCAATTACGACTTTGAGCAGCAAAAGCTGGCCGAAGGTGAGGCTGCTTTCCACTCGCTCGGCTGGAAACGCCTCACTATCGTCCTGATCGTCACTGCCGTCGCCCTTGGCAGTCTCAGTCTTCCCCATGCCTTTGCCTCGCTTGGTATGGTCGGCGGTGTCATCACATCTGTCGGTGTTGGTCTTTTGGCCATGTACTGCAGTTATGTCGTCGGCCAGATGAAGATCAAGTATCCCGAGATTGCCCACTACACTGATGCCGGATACATGATGTTCGGCAAGTGGGGAGGTGCCGTCATCACTTTCATGTTCGTCATGCAGCTGGTTTTCACCACCGGCTCTCACGTCCTGACGGGTGCCATCATGTTCAACAACCTCACTGACGACGGCGCATGCACCATCGTCTTCGCCGTCGTCTCGGGTATCCTGCTCTTTCTCTTGGCTATCCCGCCAACCTTCTCCGAGATGGCCATCCTTGGTTATATCGACTTCGTGTCCATTCTCGGTGCTATCCTCATTACCATCATCGCCACTGCTGTCACGAACGGGAAGGAGCCCGGTGGTCTTGCTGCCGTCAACTGGTCTGCTTGGCCCAAGGAGGATCTCTCGCTCTCTGAGGCTGTCATTGCTATCACCAACATCATGTTCGCCTACAGCTATGCCCTCTGCCAGTTCAGCTTCATGGACGAGATGCACACCCCCAAGGACTTCGACAAGGCTATCTGGACCCTCGGCAGTTTCGAGATTGTCCTTTACACCCTGACTGGTGCTCTGATCTACGCCTTTGTCGGCCAGGATGTCAGGGCCCCCGCCCTGCTTTCCGCCGGTCCCACGATGGCCAAGGTTGCCTTTGGCGTTGCCCTCCCCGTCATCTTCATCTCGGGGTCCATCAACACTGTCGTTCTCGCCCGTTACCTCCACCAGCGCGTCTACAAGGATTCCGTCATCCGCTACGTCAACACCAAGATGGGCTGGATCACCTGGATTGCCTTCGATGCCGGCATTACCCTTTTCGCCTGGGTCATTGCCGAGGCCATTCCCTTCTTCTCTCCCCTGCTCGCTCTCTGCGGTGCCCTCTTCATCACTGCCTTCACCTTCTACCTCCCCGGTATCATGTGGTTCATGTTCATCAAGGAAGGTCGGTGGACCCCTTGGAATATGCTCCTGGCTGCCATCAACATTTTCGCCATTGGTGTCGGCGTTGGTGTCCTCGGTCTCGGTACTTATGCCGCAGTTGAGGATATTGTAAGTTTACCCCTTTGCTCTCTCTTTGCCAACACAGCAACTAACCGGAATCTTGCAGAAACTTCGCTATGACAATGGCAGCGTCGGTACTCCTTTCAGCTGCGCACCCATCGGCTAAGCTCGCCTGACATATTTGGTGTCGTTTGAAAAGGAATTTATTTGGATCGTCTTTCTTATTGTGGGCTTTTTTTTCGTTTTTTTTTTTGGATAATGGTTAATTGGCCAGAGTTTTCCTTTTCCTGTTTTCCTTGGGGCTCGGCATTCTGGCCACATGATACCATCCTTCCTCGTTTTGATGATTGGGATCCATGCATGATAGCGCTTTTTGACGAAGTTTCATGTCTTTTTCAATGGGGTTCGGTTGGGCTATGGAGAAAGAACGCATGCGAAAAGGTCTTGGACGGATTCACGGTCGCTTTTTCTCTCGGAGGATTTGGGATAAAGTTGGGGAATCTTTCGTGCGTTTGGTTTTGGTTCTTGCGGAGGCGTCTTGGGTTGGTTAAACATCATCTGCCATCTTGGAGAAGCATGAGCATAGCCATCAGTGCTAGGTTTTTATATAGTAATTCATATTGATACCGAATACCTCCGTTTCACTTCTTTTTTAAACTTGATTACTTGTGATCCTACGATTGTTGTACACTGATGTCAAAGTACCTATTTTCAAGTTTGCAAAATCAAAGATCATCATGACAAGATATCTCTCCATTTTGAGACACGAGAGTAGGCACTCCAGCCTCTTCAAAGCTTCGCAGAAATACCTACCTGCGCACACAATTAGAAAAGACCCCACCTAATAAATATATCACAAAAGATTTCGATTTCGCCGGGTACGCCTGGAGTGTAAAGATAAGTCGTTGCAACGCATTATACGTATCTAACAGCAGCTATTTGCACCTCAGTTCAAATGCTAGCCAAACTAGAAAGACAAAAACAACTGAAACAGAGAGGATCCAAGAGAGAAAATTTGAGAATAGGTAAAACTATTCTCTAAGAGGGGAGAGAAAAAAGTGCAAAAGAAAATTGCCCAATAACAGGATTGAACTGTTGACCTTCGCATGGACTTGATATTTCTCCTTTTTTAAGGGAATAATATTAGTACGACGCTCTAACCAGCTGAGCTAATCGGGCTGCTTGGTTGTGATTGGATATTATTCATCTTCAGATTCACGAATCATCAATGCAAAAGTTAAGTGAGGTTATTCACCACCATTCAGTCTACTAGAGTCGATTAGTTGCTCTACAGCTTGTCCTTGACGTTTCTTTTTTCTCTTCGCCCTCGTCTTGTTCCCGCAGTGGAATGTCACTAGGCTGCGTAGGTAGTCTTCTAGGATACTTGGCTGGCTGTTTGCATCTCTTTGACAGATCTGTCTCTTCCCCCGTGTGCCTCCGGCTTCACCCGATCCATGGGCTGATACTCCTGACTTCTGACCTAAGTACTTCCACTTGACTTCTACTTTTGCTCACCGAGCTCTGAGCTGGGCTGTTCAACAGCCCGCCAGGAAAGACTATCAACGGAGCTGACCGTGACCAAAGTCGTATTCTGTAGCATAACAAGTGGAGTAGTGAGCTGGCAAGCAACATGATGGATCCCGTTACTCAATGATGATCGATCTTCGGTGAGCAGGAAGAGGATAAACTGGCCAAGTGGGAGTCCACAATAAACTGAGCGATGCTGACCGAGGCTCAGAATGGAATCGCATGGACTCTTTTTTACAATGGCGGCTGAAAGGAGTAATGGAGAGAAAGGGGGCTGGGCAGTCGATCTGTGTGGATGTGAGGGTGAGGGACCAACAAGCAGTGGAGCAAAGTGACCAAAGGCAGGAAAATCAATAGTCTCGGGCATGGCCCGTCAGTTCACTCATGAAGATCATCAAGGTACATGGAGGCAAAGGACACACCAAACAGTAGCATCAAGAAGAGAGGGACAGCTGAAGGTTTAAGCTCGCCACTAAGATCGGCCCGGGACGACAGTTCAGGACCAATGCGGAAGGTTGTTTTTGACTAAACTAGCGGTATAGCTTGCATCAAAGATAGTTCAGTTACTAGAGCCGGCAGTTTCCATCCCCTAGTAACTAGTCTACTATTTGCAAACATCCAAAGAACCAAAGATCATTCGTGCGCTTCTTTGTTCAGAGGACGAAGCAATGAGATCTCCCTAGTTTTCAAGCAAAGAGAGGAGACTTAGCTTGTCAACCCCAACTCCTTGTAAAAGGCCTCCGAACTCGGCTTCCGGCCAAGGAAGTTCTCCAGGGAAACCATCTCATCCTGGGAACCACCCTTCTCGAGCACGGTATGTCTGTACCGGCGACCCTGGACACCGTCCATGGGGTTGGACTTGAACACCGTGTAGAACATGTCGGTGGAGTAGACCTGGGATGAGAGGTAGCCGTAATATCCAGCGTCGTAGCCACCGATCAGATGGCCGAAGGTCGCTTGGCCATTGCCCCAGGTGCTAACAGAGTTGTCAGTATATATGACTCGTGTCGAAACAGTATGAGATTGGAAACAGGAAAACTTACTTGGGCTCACCCTGCGCCTCGGGGCCCTTGATCTGAGAGATCTCGGTTCTCAGCTTGTTGTACAGATCGCTCACTTCCAGCTTCTCAAGCTCCTCGTGAGACTTGGGGGTGTGGACGGTCATGTCGAACAGGCCAAAGTGAAGCTGGCGCAAGTTGAAGAGCGCATCGTTGACGTGCTTGGTGGCGATAAGCTTCTTGACGAGGTCGTCTGGGATCGACTCGCCGGTCTTGTAGTGGCTGCTCAGGCTCTTGAGCTGGCTGGGGGTCCAGCACCAGTTCTCCAGCATTTGGCTAGGAGCCTCGACGAAATCGCGCACAGTGGATGTCCCGTGATAGCGGGAATACTGAGTGCGACCCGCAAGGTCGTGGATGCCGTGGCCCAGCTCATGGAAGAGCGTGACAACTTCATCGTGCTTGAGAAGAGAGGGCTTCTTCTCCGTGGGCTTGGAGAAGTTGCAAACCAGGGCGGTCGCGGGGTAATGTCTAGTGCCATCGGCCTTCAGGAAGCCGGGCTGCAAGTTGAAGTTGGCAGCATGGCCATACTTGCCTGGTCTGGGGTGCAGATCGAGGTACAGGTAACCGACGAAGCCTTCGCCCTCGCCTGCATCGTCCCAGACGCTGAAGATGATCACATCCTCGTGCCACGCAATATCCTCAGCCTTGCCGGTAGGCGAGATGCGCTTACGGTCCTCGGGAGTCAACTCTACAAAGACGAGACCGAACAGTTCCTCAAAGATGCGCAGCATGCCGGCAACAGTGGAGGTGAGCGGGAAGTACTCGGCAATCGCGTTCTCGTCGATCTGGTACTCTTGCTCGACCATCAGGCGGTCGTAGTAGCGATGGTCCCAGAGGTAGTAGTTGCCATCGAACGGCAGATTACGAGCCTCATGATCCTTCTTCTTGAGCTCCAGCAGATGGTCGATCTCCTTTTGACCACCAGCCACCAGACGGGACTTGAGGTCGTTGAGGAAGTCCATCACCGTCTTGACTGTCTTGGCCATCTTGTCTTCAATACGGAAGGAGGCATGGTCGGGGTAGCCAAGGAGGCGGGCGGCCTCATCGCGGAGCAGGATAGCTTCCTTGAAAAGAGGGACGTTCTGGTTGCACTAGACGAGGAATCACAAGGTCAGCATGCTGAGTCCTTGTTCCGGCGGAGAGAGACAATCGCTAACAAACCTTATTCTCGTTCTCGATGAACACCTTCTTGCGGGTTTCGGGGTTCTTCGCGAACTTGAGGGTCGGGAAGAGGTCGGGATACTTGAAGCTAAGACGCAGCTTGCCCTCGTTCTCATCTTTGCCCTTCTGCAGAGTGTCGAGGACATCCTGCGGCACGCCATCGAGCTCCTCGGGGGTGAACCAGAGACCACCATTCTCCTCGTTGAGGTTCTTCTGGAATGCAATGGAGATCTGGCTGAGACGAGTTTTGATCTCCTTGAAGCGAGCTCGCTTCTCGCCTTCCGGAAGGCCGAGACCATTTTTGATGTAGCTCTTCCGCTCTCTCTCGAGCAACCTGGCGCTCTCGACGTTCTGCAGGCCGGCATTCTTGGCAAGCGACTCAGTGATCAAGCGGTCCTTATCCTTCTCAGCACTCTCGGCAAGGCCTGTGTTCTTGTACACGGCATCGACGAGACGGAATACGTCCTCGCGCATGGAACACTCGATACCGAACTCGTCCAAGATCTTCTCGGCCTCGGTACTACCATCCCGAAGAGCTTCGTTGGAGCTGACATACTGGTAGAAACCGAGGAGGCGGTTGGAGAGGGCACTGTTGTTCTCATCGATCATCTGGGGACGGATAACCGACTCGAAGGTGGCGGCGGAGGGATCCTCGGCCGGCTTGATATCGGCGACGAGCTTATCCAGCAGCGAGCGGGTGCCATCGCAGAGGGCTTGGGCGTCCTTGACGATGCTCTCCTTTGTGCCGGTAAAGAGCGGCGGGTCTTGGGGAGGGTTTGCGTACTTGGCCATATTGACGTTGGGTGCGTGCGTGAATACTGAGCCGAAAGTTGTATAGGTGACGCTTGCTATTACTGGCCTTGTGACAGCATTGAAGCCTCCTCCAGCTCCTGTTCCTCCAAAAGGTGTTTGGTAGGGTCGCCTGTACTTAAACTGCGTGAAGAGCGCAGTAATGCGGGGGACAACGCGTGGCGCAGCCAGGATGACGGTGACGGTGGAGAAGAGGAAAACGGTAAAGAGAAGCAGGAACACCGCCTGCCGTGGAGAGGTGGTAGTGGGCGCCAGTGTGACAAACTCGCAAAAAAAGAAGAGATGGAAACGTAAGACGATGCGACTGGATCTAGGTAGGTATCCGTACCTGAGGGAAGGTAGCAAAATGTTGCGATCGAAGGCCCAATTGCGGGGCACAGGGGCAGCTTATGGAGGGGGACGGCGGATGACGGGTAAGGAGCTCTTTGTGCTTAACAAGCACAACAACTGGATGTCGGCCAGCCTCCGATCTGCCTAGGTTACAGAACTTATGGCAACACAGTAAGATTAAGGCGTACAATGAGTGACACTTTTGTTTGATATGTATGGATATGATGAAAATGATGAAAATGCCTGCAAAAGCTCCGGGCGTAAAGAGGTCGAGAACCTGGAAGACGAGGCATTCGGTAATCATAGCGTGTTCAATTCGAGATGGATACCTATCCGAGGGACCAGGGGGCTTAGCTGCCAAGATCTGAGCTGCATATACACGGGCCCGTGCCCCCTACATTCTGTCGGGCCGCCCTGCAGTGGATGGATCACGAATCACGAATCACTCAGGGGGTGTTGGGATATACTTGATGGTGGAAGATTGATTATCAACAGACAAGATATGCCTCCAGGTTGTTTCTTGGTCTCGCTCTGAACTCCTGTTAGTCCGATATCATTACTGAGCCCCCCTTGCTCTCCGTCCTCCAGTCTCGGTTCGCAATACTTTTGTGCAAAGATATAGATACAGTGTTGTCAATGCGGTCTCTTTTGTTATCTAGCCTATCCCAATTCTGAACGGTGCTGCAATAGCGAAGCCCCATCCAGTTGCCCAAATTCGATCCAGTTCAGATCGCACATACACACAAGACTCCAACGCCTAACCTGCCACAGAAACCATGCAATGCCCTCAATGAAAAATCGTCACTCTGCACATCTCCCCTAGCCCCCTTTACAACAAGAGAGCCTCAGGTATTGCAGACCCCCTATACGTCCGGTAGCTCCACCTCTCTCTAGTTGGCGAGAATGGTGCGGACGAGCTCGTTGTAGTTGACCTGCCCGTTGGTGGTATCCACAGCCTTGAGGAGCTCATCAACCTCCTCCTCGGTCATCTTCTCGCCCAAATTCGTGAGGATGTACTTGAGCTGGCCGACCCCAATGAAACCTGTCATATCTTTGTCGAATACTTGGAAACCACGGCAGTACTCGTCGGGCTCGCCGGGGTCGCGGAAACCGCCTGGTCGGTTAAGAATGCGCTGGAAGGTCTCGAAGTCGACTATTTGCAACCAAGCGGTCAGTCTCCAGTGTTGGCTATGAAAGAAAGAAAAAGTGTACGTACAGTCGCCAGCAACATTCTTCTCAAGCTCTTGAATCTCAGCCAGGGTGGGGTTCTGACCGCATGCTCTCAGGAGGTCA